TAATTGTAAAATAAGTATATTCATACATATTTTGCAAATAATTAGTGAATCATCTTTTTTGATTCAAGTATGTTTTGACTTATGTTTTAAGTGTATTTTGTAAAAAATAAGTAGGAAATAAGTAAGAAATAAGTATCTAAACTTTTTGTAGGGATGGATGGGTAATGATGATGATACATAAAGTTGAGAAAATTACAATGTTATTTATATATTTTAAAGGTTCAATCATCTAGTTTTCTGATTCCTAGGAAAATCTTATTAGAGTTGGATCGGTCCAGTCTTGGTCCCATATTTTTTGGGGGCTGTAGGACCGGCCCTTAATGTGGTCCTTGAACCTGTGGCAATTATTAAAATAAGGTTCGAATGTCGCATAAATTTTTATATCTTTCTTTTTATTAATTATTCTATGCTTTTTAGTTCTATAATTATTGTTACTACGTATATATATAATTAACAAGTGAAATTATTATCAAGGATTCTGAACATAGACTTTATTATCTTAAGAAAAACAGAAATGAAATCAAATTTTAATATATAATTTTCTTTTGTGAAATGATGTTTCAGAGAAGCTTGCCATATTATCATGCACAGGTAAAATTATGATTTTTATTATTTCTTTGTACCTTTGTAACTGATTGTAACGAATTAGCAACCAACAAACAAATAATATTAATAATATTTTAGATGATAGATATGGTATCGCCTTTATATTAGTCCCATAAATATAAACGAAAGAATAATCACACGTTATTTTATATGTCACAATGACACACTATTCATTTGTAAGGGTTCTATTAATTTTTTTAATTATATAAACTCGATAGGAAAAAAGAATTAATTTGACTTTGCTCACTTTTCTCTTCTCAGAAAACCAAAAAATCTGCGAGATTGACGCAGCGAGTTTTCGATTTTTTTTTATTGGTGCTAATAAATGATAGTAATAGTAATAGTAAATACCAATACTATAAAAAAAATTATATTATTAAAAAAAAAAAATTATATTAAATTATAAATAATTAATCTATATATTTATCTAGAAATACAAAATTAAAAAAGTAAAAGCCAATTAATTTTTACAAATAATAAAATTAAATTTGGAAAAATGTAAATATATATATAATTTTCCTTTATTATTATTATGTTTTTTACATATTAATATCTATTATTCCATCCTATTTCATTGTTACTCATATCAACACCGCCGTTGCCACCATCACCGATATCGTTAACATTATTAATTCCAGTTCCAAGATCTGCTCCATAATTATAATTAGCATCATTTTGTTGCTGCAAAGATCTTAATTTGCTTCGTCTATATGCTCTTATAACCAATGCTGTCAATCCTGCATATAATAAAGCTGAGCCAGTTACTGCCAATCCTATTACTAAACCTTTGTTTGATGAATCTGATGAATCACCTTGTGTACTATTGGGAAGTATTGGTCCATTAACTGTTGGATTTAGATTATTGTTGTTGTTGTTGTCTGGCTCACTACTGACTATATTAAATAAAAAATAAATATTACATAAATATATAATAAATAAAAAGAAGAAACAATCACTTTAAATAAATATTTATAATAATTTATAATTAAATTTTACCTAAACTTGTTGAATCTACGCTATGATTTAACTCTGGCGTAGTAGCATTTGTATAAAAAGAACTTGTAGGATTTTTTATCACATCATTAATAATATTAACTTTATTTCCTGGGATAGCGATATTAAGCAAAACTTCTCCACCATCAGAAGCCTCTAATGAAATAGGCTTGATATCTTCAGATGGAATTCCTCCTGCCTTCGCAAGATCTTTAGGCAAGAAATCCATAATTTGAACTGGTACAACATCATTTGCAACTATTTTATCCCATGGAAGTTGTAATTTTATTTTTATGAAGACACTATTTGCTATTTAAAATATTTTATAATATAAATGAGTAAATATTTATAAATGATTACACTATTTAAAAAAAATCAAAAATGATGCTTACGTGGTGGTGATTCATTATTATCACTAACAATAACCCTAGGTAGATCTGGTGCAAATGTAGTAGTGGTAGCCACTTCATTCTCATTTTTAGACAAAGTTGTCACCTTGATTGGTAAAGTTGTAGGTGGAATAAATTGATCAGTTGCGGTTTCAGTATTGCTTGATCCGTTATCGCTCGTTGTTATAGACTCTACAGGATTGCTCTTTGCAGGATTATTACTATTAGGGTCATTTATTGGAGTAACTGTTGGATCAGCTGTTGAAGTTTTATCAGTATTAGTACCTGTGTTGATATTGGTCTTTGTAGGTGTATTGGTGTCTGTAGGTCTATCCACGGGTGAATTTGTGAGTGTATCAGTGTTAGTATTGGTAACTGTAGGTGTATCGATGTTAATAGTCGTTTTAGTGGTGGTCTCTTTTTCATCACTGGTTTGAGGGTTATTAGTAATTGCTGGAACATCAGTTGGAACATCAATTGGTTTTACAGTTGGTTTTTCAGCTGGTTCTTCGGTTGTTTTTGTTTTTGGATCATCTACCTTTGGAACATCAGTTGGAACATCAATTGGTTTTACAGTTGGTTTTTCAGCTGGTTCTTCGGTTGTTTTTGTTTTTGGATCATCTACCTTTGGAACATCAGTTGGAACATCAATTGGTTTTTCAGTTGGTTTTTCAGCTGGTTCCTCAGTTGTTTTTGTTTTTGGATCCTCTGGATCATTTACCTTTGGAGCATCAGTTGGAACATCAATTGGTTTTTCAGTTGGTTTTGGTTTTACTTTTGGAGCATCAGTTGGTTTTGTTTTTGGATCATTTACCTTTGGATCATTTACCTTTGGATCATTTACCTTTGGAACATCAGTTGGAACATCAGTTGGAACATCAGTTGGAACATCAGTTGGAACATCAATTGGTTTTTCAGTTGGTTTTTCAGCTGGTTCTTCAGTTGTTATTGTTTTTGGATCATCTATTTTTGGAACATCAGTTGGTTTTCCAGTCGGTTTTGCTTTTGGAACATCAATTGGTTTTTCAGTTGGTTTTTCAGTTGGTTTTTCGGTTGGTTTTTCGGTTGGTTTTTCAGCTGGCTTTTCAGTTGGTTTTTCAGCTGGCTTTTCAGTTGGTTTTTCAGCTGGCTTTTCAGTTGGTTTTTCAGTTGGTTTTTCGGCTGGCTTCTCTGCTGGTTTTTCGGCTGGCTTCTCAGTTGGTTTTTCGGCTGGCTTCTCAGTTGGTTTTTCGGCTGGCTTCTCAGTTGGTTTTTCGGCTGGCTTCTCTGCTGGTTTTTCGGCTGGCTTCTCTGCTGGTTTTTCGGCTGGCTTCTCTGCTGGTTTTTCGGCTGGCTTCTCTGCTGGTT